GCAAAGGTCCACTGTATATCCCTCCAAACTGCCAGTATCCCAAACCCCTCCTTTAGAGTGCAGGCATTGTACTTCCCATTTCCAGGACTCAAGTCTGGTTATATAAAATAACCGGTTTCCCAGAATCCCTTCACTAAATATTACCCTGTTCACACTCCAACAGCTCGTCAGGTCCCAAATACCATTTGTCTTCATTCACTCCTATCTAACACGCTCACGCACGCTTGCTGGAAGTCCAAACCCCTCTCCCACAACACCTCCTTTACCCCCTCCCTCCAACCTTTTTGAGGACGACCCCTACCCCGCCTTCTTTCCCCTACAGATTTATACGCTCTCTATGTCATTCTACTTTGATCCATTCTCTCTAAATGACCAAACCACCTCAACAAACCCTCTTCAGTCCTCTGACCCTCTGACTAATACTTTTATTAACTCCACACCTTCTCCTAATTTCCACACTCCGAATTTTCTGCATAATATTTACACCACACATTGCCCTTAGACAGGACATCTCCACTGCCTCCAACTGCCTCCTTGCTGCAGCATTTACAACCCAAGCTTCACACCCATATAAGAGTGTTGGTAATACTATACTTTCATACACTCCCTTCTTTGCCTCCATAGATAACATTTTTTGCCTCCACATATACCTCAATGCACCACTCACTTCCTTCATCAATTCTATGATTAACCTCATCCTTCATAAATCCATCCGCTGACACGTCAACTCCCAAATACATGTATCTGAAAACATTCACTTCCTCCATACTCCTCCTCCCCAATTTGATATCCAATTTTTCTTTATCTAAATCATTTAATGCACTCATCACCTTACTCTTTTCTATGTTCACTTTCAACTTTGTACCTTTACACACACTCCCAAATTCGTCCACTAACCTTTGCAATTTTTCTTTAGAATCTCCCATAAGCACAGTATCATCAGCAAAAAGTACCTGTGTCACTTCCCATTTTGTATATAATTCCCCATAATTTAATCCCACCCCTCTCCCGAACACCCAAGCATTTACTTCTTTTACATCCCCATTTGTAAATATATTAAACAACCATTAATTGACATTAGACATCCATGTCTAAGACCTACTTTTACCGGGAAGTAGTCTCCCTCTCTTCTACACACCCTAACCTGAGCCTCACTATCCTCATAAAAACTCTTTACAGCATTTAGTAACTTACCACATATTCCATATACATGTACAGTGGACCCCCGGTTTACGATATTTTTTCCTTCCAGAAGTATGTACAGGTGCCAGTACTGACCGAATTTGTTCCCATAAGGAATATTGTGAATTAGATTAGTCCATTTCAGACCCCCAAACATACACGTACAAACGCACTTACATAAATACACTTACATAATTTGTCGCATTGGGAGGTGATCGTAAAGCGGGGGTCCACTGTACTTGCAACATCTTCCACATTGCTTCCCTATCCACTCTATCATATGCCTTTTCTAAATCCATAAATGCAATAAAAACTTCCCTACCTTTATCGAAATATTGCTCACATATATGCTTCAATGTAAACACTTGATCTACACATCCCCTACCCACTCTAAAACCTCCTTGCTCATCCACAATTCTACATTCTGTCTTACCTCTAATTCTTTCAATAATGACTCTACTGTACACTTTTCCTGGTATACTCAGTAAACTTATTCCTCTATAATTTTTACAATCTCTTTTGTCCCCCTTCCCTTTATATATAGGGACTATACATGCTCTCTACCAATCCCTAGGTACCTTCCCCTCTTTCATACATATATTAAACAAAAATACCAACCACTCCAACACTATCCCTCCCCCCTGCTTTTAACATTTCTGTCATGATCCCGTCAGTTCCAGCTGCTTTACCCCGTTTCATTCTACGTAATGCCTCACGCACCTCCCCCACACTCACATCCTGCTCTTCTTCACTCCTAAAAGATGGTATACCTCCCTGGTCAGTGCATGAAATTACCACCTACCTTTCTTCATTGACATTTAAAAGTTCCTTAAAATATTCTCTCCATCTCCCCATCTACTAACTCCTCTACTCTGTTTTTAACTGACAAATCCATTTGTTCCTTAGGTTTTCTTAACTTGTTTAACTCACTCAAAAAATTTTTCTTATTTTCATTAAAATTTCTTGACAGTACCTCTCCCACTCTATCATCCACTCTCCTTTTGCACTCTCTCACCACTCTCTTCACCTTTCTTTTACTCTCCATATACTCTACTCTTCTTATAACACTTCTGCTTTGTAAATACCTCTCATAAGCTACCTTTTTCTCTTTTATCACACACTTTACTTCATCATTCTACCAATCACTCCTCTTTCCTCCTGTACCCACCCTCATATAGCCACAAACTTCTGCCCCACATTCTAATACTGCATTTTTAAAACTATTCCAACCCTCTTCAACCCCCCTACTACTCATACCTGCACCAGCCCACCTTTCTGCCAATAGTTGCTTATATTTCACCTGAACTTCCTCCTCCCTTAGTTTATACACTTTCACCTCCCTTTTACTTGTTGTTGCCATTTTTCTCTTATCCCATCTACCTCTTACTCTAACTGTAGCTACAACTAGATAATGATCCGTTATATCAGTTGCCCCTCTATAAACCTGTACATCCTGGAGCCTACCCATCAGCCTTTTATCCACCAATACATAATCTAACAAACTACTTTCATTATGTGCTACATCATACTTTGTATATTTATTTATCCTCTTTTTCATAAAATATGTATTACTTATTACCAAACCTCTTTCTACACATAGCTCAATTAAAGGCTCCCCATTTTCATTTACCTCTGGCAACCTCCACAACAATTTTACCCACTTTAGCATTAAAATCCCCAACCACAAGTACTCTCACACTTGGTTCAAAACTCCCCACGCATTCACTCAACATTTCCCAGAATCTCTCTCTCTCTCCTCTATACTTCTCTCTTTCCCTGGTGCATATATGCTTACTATAACCCACTTCTCACATCCAACCTTTATTTTACTCCACATAATCCTTGAATTAATACATTTATAGTCCCTCTTTTCCTGCCATAGCTTATCCTTCGACATTATTACTACTCCTTCTTTAGCTCTAACTCTATTAGAAACCCCTGACCTAATCCCATTTATTCCTCTCCACTGAAACTCACCCACCCCCTTCAGCTTTGTTTCACTTAAGCCAGGACATCCAGCTTCTTCTCATTCATAACCTCCACAATCATCTCTTTCTTATCATTCACACAACATCCACACACATTCAGACTTCCCACTTTGACAATTTTCTTCTTATTCCTTTTAGTAATTATTACAGGAAAAGGGGTTACTAGTCCATTGTTCCCAGCATTTTAGTTGACTTTTACAACACGCATGGCGCATGGCTTACGGAGGAAAGATTCTTATTCCACTTCCCCATGGATATAAAAGGAAAAGTAATAAGAACAAGAACTAAGATAAAATGATAAAATCAAAGAAAACTCAGATCTTTTCTTCTTTCAACACACCGGCCGTATCCCACCGAGGCGGGGTGGCCCAAAAGGAAAAGCGAAAGTTTCTCCTTTTACATTTAGTAATATATACAGGAGAAGGGGTTACTAGCTCCTTGCTCCCGGCATTTTAGTCGCCTCTTACAACACGCATGGCTTACGGAGGAAGAATTCTGTTCCACTTCCCCATGGAGGTAAGAGGAAATAAACAAGAACAAGAACTAGAAAGAAAATAGAAGAAAACCCAAAGGGGTGTGTATATATATGCTTGTACATGTATGTGTAGTGTGACCTAAGTGTAAGTAGAAGTAGCAAGATGTACCTGTAATCTTGAATATTTATGAGACAGACAAAAGACACCAGCAATCCTACCATCATGTAAAACAATTACAGGCTTTCGTTTTACACTCACTTGGCAGGACGGTAGTACCTCCCTGGGTGGTTGCTGTCTACTTATATTAGACCGACCAGTTGACGTGTATTGGAGGCGTGATGTCATTTGTTTTCTCTTGAACATTGGCAAAACTCGAACATTTCCGCTATTTTGAGCTCAATTTCAAGTTGTTTTCAGTACTAAAACCAATCAAAATTATCTTTACTTCTGTAATATATCTTCCATTCTGTCAAATGAAACCAAGAAACTGCAAATATAACTGTAAAAACCATACGAAAATACACCGCAAATTCACGGTTTTAATCCAGAAACACAGCCACAGTTTTTTTTTTCAATATGCACTGCATGCTGCATGATTTGTTTTATAGGGTGCACACTTACAACATAGATCCATTCTCCCATATCTAGGCCCAAATTTACTGCTCACAGCTTATCATGAGTGAGCTGAGCTCATGGCATACAACTGTGGCTTGGACCCAGGCTTCAAAGCTGTAGAACCACGGGATGAACCCTCAAAGAGTTATGGACCACAAGTCATATAAATTGTTGTACAAATTAAATTAATAGGCTGAGAGTTGTTATATTTTAAACATTAAATAACTTTTTTCCAAAATCATATTGGTGTGGGATTCATATGTAAAATCCTTCATTTGTAATCAGAGTGGAGGCCATGCTAATCTCCCTAATCTGTAGAAATATACCTAGCTGGATGAATATTATAAGGTTGGCATGGTGTAGTGGTTACAGCACTGTCCTACTAAGTTTTGGACTGTCATTCCATGGGTTCAAATCCTGTTCATTCCAAGAGTTGTTTACTCATGGAACAAACAGGATACAATCACTCAAAATGCAATTTTTTTTGTAGGGGGAAAGTAACTTTTTTGTTATTTCTTTATACTCATTTTTATAAATTTCAGTTGTATTATACTCTTATTAATATTGTCTACCACTACTGATACCTGAAAGTTTGTCATATTTTCGTATTGCAGATATATTATTTATTAAAATCAGAATCCTTATATACTTTGATACATAAGTTGAAAAGTTCCTAATTATGCAATGCACTTTAGGTATTCTTTATTTCATGTTTTTTTTTTTTTTTTTTTTTTTTCAGTGGGCTTCTCAAGTTTGATATCAAGTCAACATGATGCAGGATAGTTTTTACCTGGAAGGCAGGAAAGATGGTGATGAGCTTTGGGTTCCTGGTGAAACTCTTGTAGCTTTGTTTGCTCTACAGTATTGTTATAACCCGGCAGTCAGTGTAGTGCTGGTGGAACAACAGAAACATATGTTTTGCTTACCCTCAGCCACAATACATTGTAACAATGAAAGTATCAGTGATACTTTAAGCTTGGAAGAGGATCCTTGGTTCCCGATAACTGTGAGTAGCTTGAATTTTGAGATAATTATAAAACAAGAAGTAGACTGTCCAGATATGATTAAAAATTGTATGTTGCCAGCAGTTATGATGGTATCACAGTCTTGGTGTGTAGCTGGGTTATGTTCTTCTCTGAGGTTTGTTTTGAATCAGACAGTTGAAATGCATCCAAAACATTACTGCAAAAACCTTTTAGGATTTAGAGGAGGATGCTTGCAAGCATGTGCTGAAGTCAGTGTATGGACAAAGTTCTGTGAAGTGGAGACAATTACGACACTTAAAAGTGTTTTTAGGGGTCATTATTTCAGTAGTGAAAAGATAATATTGCCAGAAGACATGTTAAGATATGAGCACCACCTGCAGTACCCACCCATTCTTCACAATGCACTGAAGAAAAAGCAAGAGTACATCAAAAGTACATTTCAAGATAAAAATGCACAAAAGAAGCTGTGTCAGAAAAAACTTTCTGAACTTCCACAACTAGAACACAAATATGCAGAAGGCTTAGACATGACTTTGGCTGACATTATACTTTATGCTAGTTTCCACATAATTATATCAAAGGTACAAACATTTGTAGACGTGGAAGATGTGTTTCCTCTAGTCACTAAGTGGTATAAACTCATTTCTTGTGATAATCATGTTCAAAGGGCATTACCTGTTCTCCAGAAGGCTTTAGTTCACATGTCTACTGAGGAAACTATTAGCACTTCTGTTGAAATTGTAATTCCTGAAATTCCTTTTGAGAGTATATACAAAAGTGACCCCGAAAGGTATAAGCCTCGCTGGAGGGCATTTACCCATCAGAATGACATAGACAAAGTTTTGGAAGTCTTAGAAAAAGCAGCTATCAAACCAGTTTTTGATGCCCATCCTTCAGCTGTCATCTCACTCCCTTGGTCATCTTTTCCATCAGCAGTAAGTCCACAAGAGGGCCAGCTTCCTTTGTCTAGACTGAATAGAAAGTGTCAACAACTAGAAAATGTTGTTTCTGCCATACAGATTTTTGCTAAAAAGGGTGATGTGATTGTTGATTTTTGTGCTGGAGGAGGTCATGTTGGTATAGTTGCTGCCTTCTGTCTTCCAGAGTGTAAAGTGTTACTTGTTGAAAATAAAGAAGCCTCATTAGTCCGAGCTAAGAAGAGAGTTGAAGACCTCCAGTTAAATAATGTTACATTCATGCAGTGTAATCTTGACTATTTTAAAGGGCATTTTAATATAGGAGTTTGTCTACATGCTTGTGGAGTTGCAACTGATTTAGTAATGCTTAAGTGCCTAGAACAGAAGGCTGCATTTGTTTGCAGTCCATGCTGTTATGGAGGAGTTCAGTCAAATCACATTCTTAAGTATCCCCGTAGCCAAGTTTTTTGTAATTTGCCTCTTTCTTTAAATGAATACCTTATTTTGGGTCATGCTGCAGATCAAACTCATGATGAAAGCAATCCTAAAACTGGTCAGGGTCAGTTGTGTATGAAACTAATAGACACAGATAGACTAATGTTAGCAAAAACATTTGGATATAGTACAAAACTAGTTCAGATGCAACCAAAAACTTGTTCTCCAAAAAATCACCTCCTTATTGGCATTCCCCAAGGCTTACCTTGCACTAATTTTATGGGTACACAATTTAATAAAATTTAGAATATTAAAATGCACAAATGATTTTATGGTAGGTAGGCAATTTTGAATAAGTAAAAATCTACATACATTTTGGCAGGTTCACTGAGGATGACTTGTCATTTGGTAATACTAAAAAAAACTTTAAGATCAAGGGTTGTGTAGAAGTAGTCAGTGTAATGAAAAAAGACAAGCCAAGCATTTAAGGACATTTTATTGGAAATGTTCTGATCCTGGGGACTTTGGTCACTGCATCTGGAGTGACCAAGGTCCCAGGATGGAAACCTTCGATAAAATATCATATTGTCTGCTTTTTGTATCTTTTTCCACTACTTTTAGTACAAGTTGTCAGTGTAAGGTGGTGATACTATGGGTACACTTTTTCCATGCATAAAGCTGCTCAGTAGCTCTGTCATACAGCTGAAAATCAGTGTGCCAGTGAATCAACACAAGTGTACTCTGACTGTTATAATTTTGCCATTCCTGTTCCTGGCCTCATACACTTGTATGTTACAGTTCATGCCTCACAGGCTTTTAAGCATTTAGAGATGATAGTTATACTTAAAGTATCATACATTTAAGTGCATTCATTATAGCAAACTGCTCAGTGTGGAGAGTGAAATCATCGTGCAAATCATTCATATTAGGTAAGAACCATATCTTTGAGTCAAAATTCTGGGAATCAGTGTATATGCCAGTGTATAAGTTGACTTTTTAACCCTTTGACTGTTTTTGTCGTATATATACATCTTACAAGCCAGCGTTTCGGACGTATTAATACGCATAAATTCTAGTGGCTTCAAATCAAGCAGGAGAAAGCTGGTAGGCCCACATGTGAGAGAATGGGTCTGTATGGTCAGTGTGAAGATAAGATAAGATAAGATAAGATTTTGTTCGGATTTTTAACCCCGGAAGGTTAGCCACCCAGGATAACCCAAGAAAGTCAGTGCGTCATCGAGGACTGTCTAACTTATTTCCATTGGGGTCCTTAATCTTGTCCCCCAGGATGCGACCCACACCAGTCGACTAACACCCAGGTACCTATTTTCTGCTAGGTGAACAGGACAACAGGTGTAAGGAAACGTGTCGAAATGTTTCCACCCGCCGGGAATCGAACCCGGGCCCTCCGTGTGTGAAGCGGGAGCTTTAGCCACCAGGCCACCGGGCCACCCGGCACCGGGCACCACATAAAAAAAAAATCCTGCAGCACGCAGTGCATAATGAGAAGAAGAAAAAACTGACCGTTTTTTTTTGGATTAAAACGCTGAATTTGAGGTGTATTTTCGTATAGTATTTATCGTTGTATTCTTGTTTTCATGGTCTCAGGTGATAAAATGGAAAACATATTACAGAAATAGAGAGGATTTTGGTTAGTTTCATGATGAAAAGGACCTTGAAATTGAGCTCAAAGTAGTGGAAATGTTCGATTTTTACGAATGTTCAAGAGTAAGCAAATCACACCACACTTCCAATACACGTCAACTGGAGAGTCTAATATTCTTTCACTAGTGCACTGATATTATTTATACCATTTTTACAATGCTGCAGTAGTCTGCATAACAGTAAATTTTGTATTTTTTGTATGAATAAAAAATGAAAATAGAAAGCAATAGTAATACAAAAGGGGCCTAGAGACATGAGTAATGAACAGAGAATATGTTATTTTAGTGGCAAGAATGTTTACATTGTTTATTCTGGACCCTATTTTGAAATTGTCATCTTTTTTAATTTGCATGAAATTGGCCAAATTGCCAATTTCTGACCACTTATTGGATAGTTCCAATTGGTAAATGGGTGGTTTCTTGTACTCAACTGATAGAAAAAATGGAGTTCTAAAGAAATAGCTATGAGTTTGGTCAACTGGAACAACGGAATTGGCCAAAAACAGGGCTCAAAGTCGGCAAAATTGCCAATGCGTATAATTCTCCAAGACCGCTAACTTCATGGGAGTGTAATTCCGTGAGTTTTTGACCAAATTTCATACTTTTGGTGCCATTACCGTCGGGAAAATATTCTCTATCATTTCATAAGAAAAAAATCATTTTTTTTTTTCCAAAAAATTTTACAACATAGAATGGCAGTTTCAGAAAGGGGCTTGCAACAGTCAAAGGGTTAAGCTGGGTATAAAAGTTGCTGATACGTGGCAGAAGTGAAAATAAGGCCATGGCTGCCTCATATACAGCCTTTGTTCACTTAGCAACATGTTTACTGACAACTCAAACTTACAACAGGCTCTCAGACCAATATGCATACCTAAATAATATATGTTAGAGCTGATTTCTTTTATTCTGTTTATTACAGTATACAGTACACTTCTGTATAAACATTTAAAAATACAGCCACTCCTCACTTAATTACATACTTGTTTACCAATGCCTCAGACTTACAGTAGGCTCTCTGATCAGTATGCATACCTAAATAATGTACGTATATTAGAACTGATTTCCTCTATTCTGTTTATTACAATGTAGAGTACACAGTATACTGTACAAACATTTAAAAATATACCAGAAATGTTATAATGGTGCAAAGGTGACATTAAAACAATATCAAAGATGGTTGACACAAACCCACTACCATTATAGTTATGCAGAGATGCAGTTATGATATATGTCTTTCATATTTGTTCATCTTTCTAATATTACATTGCGATTACCATCGTTAAATGCTAAAACGAGAGTAATCAGCTTTATAATAAATATTCATTTTCATCTTTCCCATTTTTCATTATGTGTATATATTTATTCTGGTGAGGAAATGGGTAACTACCAGTTTGTTTGGCCTCGCCTCTACACCACTCCGCCGCTGAAGCGAGCTGACGACAGTGGAGTTGGGTAGATTAAGCAGTACAGCAACTCTCTCGGTATAGAGAGGGTCTCCACAGCTTACTCATTTTAACCTAAGCGGTGAAGCTTTTGGACTAGAGCTTTATTCGCTTAAGTCACCAGAAATTGTGGAATTTTCATTATACAGAAGTTCTCGTGTGTACAACTTCAAGTTTTTCTAACCATCAGCCTAATTCTCCTTTAAAAATAGAGAATAACGTAACTTTTTGTTCAACTGAATATTAAAGGTTCATTCAACTAAGAATGAAAGTCTTCTTAATTTATAAGTGGTATATAAAGTCTGTTTATATATAATTAACCCTTAACCCTTTGACTGTCGAAAGGCCCAATCCTGAAGTGTCTCCTGGTGTCGCAAAATATTCGAAAAAAAAAATTATTTTTTCTTATGAAAATGTTAAGATTATTTTTCTGATTGTTTGAGTCCCAAAAAAAAAATTTTTCCCATCAGTACTTA